ATTTATCGTATTAAATATACAGAAGTATATACATATGCAAAATACATTCATACATGTGCATTATATATATATATATATATATATATACCGAATATGTGGTGCAGTTCAATTTATATTACATTGAATCACACTAATCACTCTATTTAAGAAACACTTTCACACAGCTTATAATTTTAAAAAAAGCAAGGATCATGGCATTCATCGAGTTTTTTATATATATATATATATATATATATATATATATATATATATATATATATATATATATATACATATATATACTTATATCTATATATATATATATATCAAATATATGGTACAGTTCAATTTATATTACAATGAATCATACTAATCACTAATTAATTGATCACTAATGATCTAGGATCATAACATTCATCGAGTGTTGTTAGCGAAGGATTTCGCCATTTTATATCATTAAATTTACAAATTTACTTTTTTGTATGAATGGTTCATTGTATATATATATATATATATATATATATATATATATATATATATATATATATATATATATAAATATATAAAGTTATATATATATATATATATATATATATATATATATATATATATATATATATATATATATATATATATATATATATAAGTACATAAAAGGTTAATAGTCAGATTTAAAACCAGACCAGGAAACAGTGGTATTAAAAAGTGCTCAATACACGTGGGAAAAAAAATAACATAAAAGTAAAAATAACATGTAGAGGTTTTAATTTTATATATATATATATATATATATATATATATTAGAACAAAAACACGATTTTTATTAATTTTAATGATGTTACGCGCACACACACACACACACACATATATACATATGCCACATATGTGCGAGGAAATGCTGAAAAGTTCTCGGTTTCACCAGGAAGAATGACCCTCCCAACATACCAACTACAGTTATGAAACATACATAAATAATTAGTACCACAATTTAAATATTAAAATAAAAAGAGAAAAATAAAACAAAAAATGATGTTCGATTAATGATTTTGGAAAGTGTTTCAAACCGATAATTTCTAAGCATTTTTTAGAAATAATGCACAAAATAGTTATATTATATATATATAGTTATATATACATTTTCTAGTTTCATCTCATCGTCATCCTCGGTCGGGCAATTATATTCATTACTTTATATTTATATACGATAATTATAATTAATTAATAATTAAGAACAAAAATTGAATTACAACTGAAAAAATACATAAAAATATTAAGAAATTCTGCTAAGAAAAGGACTCAATAGAAAAACTAGTGTTATAGCAATCAGGCCACAATGTTGAAGTTACTTATCTGGTTTGCCAACTCATTAGTTTCGTGTCAAAACGCTCCTCAGGGCCAGATATTTGATAGATATTTCATTTATCATGTAGCTTTTAAAAAAAGACTTGTGTCGATTCCTATATACAAACGTTCCATATCTATATACATTCTGTCCCTGTGTCTGTCTACCTGTTTCTTTCTCTCTCTCTCTCTCTCTCTCTCTCTCTCTCTCTCTCTCTATATATATATATATATATATATATATATATATATATATATATGGTCGAATTATGAGTTTTTGAGATTCATAGGCTAAATAAAATATCTGGCCATCCACGAACTCGTCCATACATGTCTTGAATATTTTTTATTCGTGATATATTTATTTGAAGTAAACTTATTGCAAATTTTTTAAATAGAATAGTATAGCTATCTTTTGTTTGTCAATAAAAATATTCTTTAAGAAATACCGCTTTTAGCACATACTTTAGCACCACCGTAGTAAAGAAAGCCTTTTTTTTTTCTATAACCCAGCATTATAACCAATCTTGTGTGGCCTTAGCCTATTCCTATGCCAGCCTATATGATAAAATGGCCCTATCTATCTATCTATCTATCTATCTATCTATCTATCTATCTATCTATCATTTAAAAAAAATTTTTTTAATCGGTATCACCACATGCTAAGTCACAAGAGGTTACATGGTGTGGAAGAATTAATAACGGAAACATATATAATGAGTGCGAAGAGTAAAGAGTAATCAGGAGGATAGTAGATAGCGATTGACATTGCATTTAAATTTTTGAAGATTAAAGTTGGCTGGAAAGCATGGAGTCGGAAGAGAGTTCCACAAGCGGGAAAAGAAACTGCTAGCATAGAATTTATGGTTTACATCTAGCTAGCTCAACTATAAATCATATATATTATTATTTATTAATTATATATATTATATATTAATTATTATGTATATTATATATTAATTATATATATTGAAAGTATCAAAATATTATATAGGATTCACTGAAAAGAAAACCTCAAAATTCTAAAAGCCCTTATAGTACAAATCGAACCTGTATCCTATACGGAACCGTAAAATAGCCTAACGGGCTTTTACCGATTGAGCCACATGACTTAATTCAAGAAAAAATAATAATGTAGAGCTCTATTTCATTTTAATAATAAAATCCATTTTTTTAAGCGTTTCACCCCAAGCAAGGCGAGAAGCCACTAGGACGCAAGGGGTTACAGAAACTTTGGAGCAAGGTCAGATAGGAGTGATAGAAGAAAGGATGAGGAGAAGGGTCTGGGCTGGCTTTCTTCATGGATCACCAAAATATCATCGTAGACCCCCAATTTGTTATATTTTGCATGTGGACCCCCACACATATTACATGGACCCCTAGGGCCCATGTGAACCCCGGTTGAGAACCCATGAATTAGATGAATAAACATAGTATTTACATTGAACAATGACATTAAAAGAACTATTAATAACATACCTCCATTTCCCGTAAAATCTTTGAAGAGCTTGGAAGACCAGCAGTATTTTTATGAGCACAATGCATAGAGCTTTGGAGAGGGATAATAAGAGTTATTTACAAAGTTGTTGAAGATGAACAATTACCCTGATTTACAGTATTATAGGTTAATAGAATTTATACATTTTCCTTGATAATGATTTTGAATGAACGAAACACGTTGACATAATTTTTTTCTCATGTATTTTTCTTTGTTTAATTATGTCTTTACAGATATATTTTATTTGTATCTGAATTTTTACATATGTATATTTACGTGTGAATATGTATATCGAGGTATATACATATGCAAATATATGTATGTTTGTGTTCTGAAACATGCATACAAATGCGAGTATTTATATATATAAATGTTTTAGATTTGCATTGCATTGTATCATATATATAGGATGATAGACAAAATGAATATATTTATGCCAAAATTAAAGAAATATATGTGCATATAGAATTAGGGAATCACTCAATGTTGAAGAAAATTATAGATTCATAAAAAAAAAAACTAAAGAAAAAAATACTCCTCACTTGCTCCGCCTCGGAGATGACAGACGTAATTCTTTACGGCAAGGGTTTCTCCTCGAATTGTTGATAAGACAGATCATCGTTGGTGCATTTTCAGCGCTCTCTCGGTATAGAATTTTAATTGCTTTTTGTTGTATTTCGTTACCACGCTATATATATATATATATATATATATATATATATATATATATATATATATATATATAAAGAAAGAACAGTAAGATATATAATCCGGTGTTCTTATTGATATTTTTATTTTTATAAAATAGTGCTCAATGTAAATTTACAGAGCATTAAATTATAAATTAACTGATTTAAAATCTGTTTTTTCGCTACACAGTAATAACCATGTTTCAAAAATGGAAGCTGAAAGCTTCAAATTTAATTTTGTAATTAAATTAAAAACATATATATATATATATATATATATATATATATATATATATAAGCGATTTTGGGCCCCACGTTTTCATCGTGTTTGAAGTGCAATGACTACATTGAATCAATCGCTGCATTCACTTTCTGGAAACTTGTGACGTGCAAGAAGGTTTTTCCCGTCAGAGTCCACCTTGCACATTTACAAATCTACCATTCGGCCGTGCATTGAATACTCTTTTCATATCTGGTCTGGTGTTCCTGCGATTCATCTCTATGTTCTTAACAAAATCCAAAGAAGGATTTGCAATATTATCGATCCTAAATTGGCATCTCGACTTCAGTCTCTTTATCACAGACATGATTTGGCTTTCCTCTGTCTATTCTACAACTATTTTGATGGCAACTGCTCTGACGATCTTTTTTCCCTGGCACCACGACTACATAAATTTAAGCACGATATTGGCTTTTACAATCGAAATAATTAAATATAACTGCCGCATCTACTCCAACAGTTTATTTTCTCCCACTTTCCGCCTGTGGAACTCCCTTCCATTTACTTTCTTTCCTGAAAACTACAGTCTTCCAAAATTTAAATGCAACGTCAATCGCCATCTTCTGTCTTCTAGAAGCCCGTTTTTTCCTCAATCATCCTAGTACCCAGTGTTACCTCACACTTTCGCTCTATGTAACTCTCTAAGCTATATATATATATATATATATATATATATATATATATATATATATATTTATAAATTCATGAATCATTCATACAAAAACAAATATAGAGGTTAATGATTTAAATGGCAAGAATAAACCTCTATATTTTTTTTTTGCATGAATGATTCATGAATTTATAAATTATATTTGCACCTTTTTAATTGAAATATATATATATATATATATATATATATATATATATATATATATATTATATTTATACACACACACACACACACACACATATATATATATATATATATGTTTTTCACTGTAAGTTTATAAAAATTATAAAATGATTTGTTACAATGATTCATGCATTTCTCTAATTTCTTTTTTCACTCTCGTTTACTCGCTGTCTCACTTTTATACATATGTCTTTTATATTGCCTGCCTTTTATATGTCTTTTATATTGCCTGCCTTTTATATGTCTTTTATACTGCCTGCCTTTTATACATATATCTTTCATACTGCCAGTCTTTTATATATGTCTTTTATACTGCCTGCCTTTTATACATATATCTTTTATACTGCCAGTCTTTTATATATGTCTTTTATACTGCCTGCCTTTTATACATATATCTTTCATACTGCCAGTCTTTTATATGTCTTTTATACTGCCTGTCATTTATACACATGTCTTTTATACTGCCTGCCTTTTATACTGCCTGTCATTTATACACATGTCTTTTATACTGCCTGCCTTTTATACTGCCTGTCTTTTATACTGCCTGTCTTTTATACACATGTCTTTTATACTGCCTGTCTTTTATACACATGTCTTTTATACTGCCTGCCTTTTATACTGCCTGTCTTTTATACTGCCTGTCTTTTACACTGCCTGTCTTTTATACTGCCTGTTTTTTATATATATGTCTTTTATACTGCCTGTCTTTTATACATATGTCTTTTATACATATGTCTTTTATATTGCCTGTCTTTTATACATATGTCTTTTATACTGTCTCTTTTATACATATGTTTTTATACTGTCTGCCTTTTATACATATGTCTTGTACACTGATTGTCTTTTATACATATGTATTTTATCTTTGATGCATAAGTTTTTTAAATTGTCTTTTATTCATAAGTCTTTTATACTGTTTGTCTTTTATGCATATGTCTTTTATACTGTCTTTTATACATGTTTTTTTTATACTGTCTGTCTTTTATAAATATGTCTTTTATATTAGCTGTCTTTTATACATACGTTGGGATAAATCATAGCGTATCGGATTGAGGAATCGTAGAGCTGAATTTGATTTTCTGTCGAATCCTTTACATTCACTTACGTGCTAATACACTTGGGAAACGTATGGATTCTCTTCTTCTCCCCACCCAGATATTGTATAAATAGCAGGACAGACCAGGTTCTATAGACTTGGATGGCAAGTGGTCTACAGCAGAAAGAAATGGCAACTTACTACAGGAAAAAATCTGCCTCGTCAGTCATCATCGCCTAAGTGTGTGTCAAGCATGGCGCTGACTGACATTTATATTGTCTTTTATACATATGTCTTTTATACTGTATGTCTTTTATACTGTCTGTCTTTTATACATATATCTTTATTACTGTCTGTCTTTTAAACACATGTCTTTCATATTGCCTGTCTTTTATAGATATGTCTTCTTATATTGCTTGTTTTTTATAAATATGTATTTTATACTGTTTGTTTTTTATACTGTCTGTTTTTTATACTGTCTGTCTTTGAAACATGTCTCTTATACAGGCTGTCTTTTACTCGTATGTCTTTTATACTGTCTTTTATACATATACCTTTATTGCTGTCTGTCTTTTAAACACATGTCTTTCATACTGCTTGTCTTTCATACTGCTTGTCTTTTATAGATTTGTCTTTTTATATTGCTTGTCTTTTATACATATGTATTTTATACTGTCTGTTTTTTATACATGTTTTTTATACTGTCTGTCTTTTAAACATTTTGTACTGTCTGTCTTTTAAACATATGTCTCTTATACAGGCTGTCTTTTATTCATATGTCTTTTATACAGCCTGTCTCTTATTCATATGTCTTTTATACTGTTACAGAATGAAATTCTATATGAAATATAGGTTCTTAAGTAACAGAAGGCGACTGACTTTTTTTTACGCCTGTATATCGACTTTGAGGTAATTTGATATTGCAAAAGACGTTATTATTCGTGTGAAATGTGCAATAGGCTATTAACAGATATATTTTAAAAAAGTCAAAGTGGTTTTGTTTCTTAGCATCAAAAACAAAAGACGGGAAGTAACAATCGCAGGAAAGAAGGGAAGTAGGTATGGTTTCAACAGATAGGGAAGCGAGTGCCGGGAAATAAGGACTTGGACTTCATGTAGATGATCTGGGAAGTGCTGATAGGCATAAGAGACATGGATATCTAGCACCACCCACACTCTGGAAACTATTGTGATAGTCTGATTATTACACACCTTAAAGAAGAACACCCATCTCTGGTGGTTTGATTTATTTCGCCTTGTGTATTCGGATTTAATCTTATGTTGGGGGCGGTGACATATAGGGGGCGGTGCCTATTTACAGAACTTTTTTTAAGACACAAAACTGTCATTAAATTACATTTTCAGACTGAAATTTAAATTTACATAGTATTGGCGCGTATTTACAGATAAAAGCAGTTCGTGCGCGCGTTCACGCACACACACACGACAGGGCGCATCCGCAAGATGTTTTATACAAATTTACTTACAAATAAGACCCCCCCCCAAAAAAAAAAACACATACAGAGAGAGAGAGAGAGAGAGAGAGAGAGAGAGAGAGAGATTGAGAGAGAGAGAGAGAGAGGGGAGGGGGAGAGAGAGAGTTATAAAATTGAAACGTGTATTATTATCACGTTTTTAATAAGATGTCTTTAGTTGATTTTGGGAAATTACAAAATTTCCGACTACTCCTGAATCTTTCGACAGTGTTTGACATTTTGTATAATATAGGGGACAAACGTAGATATTTACTACCAATATATATATATATATGTATATATATATGTGTGTGTGTGTATATATACACACACACACACACACACACACACACAGAGAGAGAGAGAGAGAGAGATTGAATTCAACATTCAGAGTGTCCACTTTTATATTTACACACACTCTAGCACTGATATTGAGCACTTTAACCCATAAATTTAGCATGCCTTTAAGCTATATTTTATATAGCATACTGTAGAACTATATTTTATCATATATGTATGATTAACTTTGTATAATTAGTACTATAATGCCTACTACTACTGCTACACACAGACACATTTAAGAATTTACATTATCATCCGAATACCACGTAGACAAACTAGAATTATGATACACTTACATATATACATATTTACATTTTATCAGTTAAGCTTAGAATCCTTTAATCGTTTTGAGCTTCGAGAAAAAAAAGTGCTATCTCTCATGGAGATCAGATCGCCATAAATTATACTCACGAACACAACATAACAAATCAAATACACATGAATTCTCCTTAACCAATGAAAATCAAACAGCACAAAAATAAAAATAATCGAATTTCTTTTCTCCATATCTCATACTCTGACGAAGATTTAAAAAGAGTGAAACATGTTAGATTGATAAATGTTTCCTATTTGTTTTTTCATATAACTGTCGGATTTCGATTCATATTTGATCGACATTTGATCTATCTATCTATCTATCTATCTATCTATCTATCTATCTATCTATCTATATATATATATATATATAATGAAGAAATATAGTGTTAAGATGTGCTATATTTGTGGGATAAAGTGCTCAATATCAGAGCGTGTATAAATATAAAAGTGAACATAGAAGTCAACACTTTTAGAGGCGACAGTCTGTTTCATGCTAGAAGCAATCGATTGCATCTAGCATGAAACATGAAACTGTCATCTATATATATATATATATATATATATATATATATATATATATATATATATATATATATATACTGTTTCAATGGTTTCGTCTTCTCGAATTTCCAATTCTTTCATTCTCTTTGTAAAGGCTCTTCAGGAATATTCAAAGTTTGTCAGTAATATTGTTTTGGGTGCATCTATCTTTTATACATGTATCTTTTATACTGTCTGTCTTTTATCCATATGTCTTTTATACTGTCTGTCTTTTATACATATTTCTTTTATACTGTCTGTCTTATGCATATGTCTTTTATATTGTTCTTTATCCATATGTTTTTTATACTATTTGTCTTTTATGCATATGTCTTCTTATACTGCCTTTCTTTTGTACATATATATTTTATACTATCTGTCTTTTATACCTATCTCACTTATACTGTCTGTCTTATATACATATGTTTTTATACCGTCTTTTGTCGGATTCCGATGCATATTTGATCGACATTTGATTTTTAACTTTCCCCTTTCATTTTGTGAACTATGAAAACAGTAAATTTCACAATTTGACAATTTTTTCTTTGTTTTTAATGACTGTTTTTAATGATGATTATCCTAAACAGTTTTAATTGTTGTTCTGTGGAACAGACTTTCTTTTGTGAATGTTCAGTTTAATGTTGTTTGCATTATTACCAGTGGATTATCTTACGTACCCAAGTTCGAATCTCACCATGCCAGGAAGGAGGCTTCCTGATGTTATCGGACTGGAGGGTTCGAACCCAGCATGTGGCAGCTTTGCAAAAATCCCTGAAAACCATACCACAGATTGATCCAAGCCCTGTGAGTTAAATTGGGGACCGTCGATAGCTGGGCAAGCACAAAGTCACAAGTCATCGTGGCCGATGTTTTGTGAGTGCTGGCCTTGTTCAAGTTGTTGATAACACTAGATAACACGCTCTTTCCTAGAAACTGTAACTAAAGTCTGCTCAGCATAGTTGCAGGATAAACCACAGTTAGGTTCTTTGGGTGTTGAATATATATATATATATATATATATATATATATATATATATATATATATATATATATATATATATATATATATATACATTAGATTGATATACTTTTCCTATCCCTTTATTTTATCATCATGTGGATTTGACTGCATTTGATCAATATATATATATATATATATATATATATATATATATATATATATATATATATATATATATATATCTTTGTAGCTAATCATTCTTATTTTAGTACACATTCCTAGATAACTTCCAACTCATTAGATAAATTTCAACCAATTTAATAAATAAGCTTTTAAGGGTTATTTTGAAATACTGTATCCTGTTAAATATAATTTACTATTTTTGCTGTAGTTTTATATATTTAAATTATTTAAAAATTAGATTTAAAAACAAAATTTACATAAAAACAAAAATATTGTTAGCATCAATTTTGAGTATTTTCTTTGTAGGAATTATTGTTTGACACTTAACAATTTTCAACGTTACAAAATTATGTGATTAAAACATAAAAATGAAAGTTTATATCTGTCGTTGTTGTATCTTCAGACTGCCTTTTCCTTCTATGCCGTGTCCTTTCAGGAAGTGGACGATGATGGCTCAGCACAATGTATCCTTTGTAGCATTTAGTAAGGTTTTCTTTTTCGTTATCTCTTCTAATCTCTGCTTTGGCATTTATTTATACAAGCTCGCTACTTTTCCTTTTTTACTTTCAGCGTGTCTTGTAAGTGTTAGTTTCTCCAAACCCCCTTTCCTCATTATGTGCTCTAGCAATTTCAACTATATCTTTTTACTCCTAAGTTTAAAGTGCCCCTTTCTGTTTAATTTTCTTTAAAATTTATTACATCTTCAGACCATGAGTTCTCATTACTCTTCTGTAGAACCACATCTTTTTTTTACCTGAAGACTCTTCATCTGTGATGAGATTATCCAGTATTCATTGCTATAGAGGGAGACTAATAATACACAATCGTTCTGTACTCTATTCATTGTTTCTAATGAAATTTTCACATTTTCTGATACTTTGCTTAGCTTCGGATTTCGGTGTTACATGTTCCATCCCCTGTTAAAACACACTTCGGATATTTTATTCTTTTGATTATGACATCTCCAATTCGTAGATTATTTTGAATCTTAGGTGTGTGTGTGTGGGGGGGGTACTTCTCTCACCGAAATGTAAATGGAATAATTTTGGATAGAAAATGGCAAAGTAAAGTGTCATGTGGGTCTCTTATGTGTTGACCCCAGTAACATATTGAGCAAGTGTCGGTTGTATCACATGACAAATCATTGTTTTGAAATATAACACCACAGACTGAAGAAAAAAAAAAGAAAAGAAAAAATTAAAGCATAAAAAGGAAAGGGAGGTGCCCTTTACACTTTATGCGACAAAGCTTTACCAAATTTCGCTGATAGACTCGTGAACACAAAAGTCTGTTCGGATGCAGTCATACAAACACACTTTTGTCGGCTCATACGATATCTATCTATCTATCTATCTATCTATATCTATCTATCTATCTATCTATCTATCTATCTATCCCATTCTGTTCATTATCTATCTATCTATCTATCTATCTATCTATCTATCTATCCCATTCTGCAGTCATTTTATCCATACAAACACACTTTTGTCGGCTCATACGATATCTATCTATCTATCTATCTATCTATCTATCTATCTATCTATCTATCTATCTATCTATCTATCTCATTTAGTTCATATCTATCTATCTATCTATCTATCTATCTATCTATCTATCTATCTATCTATCTATGTGTTAATCGCATGTTGTGCTCTTCTTTTTGCTGACAGCCATACATTCTGTCTTCTTATAATATAAATTTAGTCCTTTCTTCTCACTTTCCATAATTTGCTTATGTAGGACTTTCTGCACTTTTTCTGAATCTCCTATTGCATATCGTATATTATTAAGACTATTGTCGCTAATAATGAATCCTGTTTGAAATTTTAATTCCCTCAGAATCACCTCAATATAAAGGTTGAATAAGTCCGCTGAAGAGACACATCCTTGTCTTACACCCCTTTCTATTTTGTATATTTACTGAATTTATTTTCTGTCCGCATGCTGACTATTTAATCACAGTATAAGTTTTAGATTCTAATAATGATTGTAGAATTGTTGGTCTAATGATAAGTTGTGACCATATATGCTTTATATTACTATGTCTATAGTTTCTTTGACAGACATAGACTTTTATTATTTTACATGACTACGAACCATTTATTGGGCTTATTCTGGGCAGATTATTGGGAGATAGGAGGATTTCTTTGGTAACGAAGAATAGAATACTGAGCTATTACGTGACATCAGTTTTTCTTTACGTCATCGAATGTTGGACGATTTCCTCAAAGATGAAGAAGAGACTCAAGGCAACGGAGATGTGGATCTACAGAAGGATGCTAAGGATGTCATGGACCGAGCATGTGAGCAACAATGAGGTTTAAGAGGGGATGCAAACAAGGGGGAGGCTTATACTTAACAACAGGAAGAAGCAGCTGAAGTTCCTTAAACACGTAATGAAGGGCCTGGAGAATGTGATACTCACGGGTCGAATAGAGGGAAATAGAGACAAGGGAAAACAACACATGACATATCTGGCTGACTTAAACAAGTGGATGACAGAACGTGGTCTGGTGGGAGGTGGCAGAGTGAAATAGCAGTTATTTTAGAGCTTTGGATAAATGCTATACCAAACAATTTAAAGAAATCTTTCAGAATAACCATGTTTTGCATTTTACTCTATTTGTTAGCTCTTTTCTTGAAATTTTAGAAATCAGAAATCAGTTTATTAGTTAACGATAAAAAAATCTCCATAAGCATAAATTCGTGTCTTCTCATTTAAAAAGTGGATGTTCTCACAAACATAATCTAGCTGTAATAAAAACATGATTAAGAGTGTCAAAATAATTTCTTCTTCAAACAGGTTATTTAGTAAATAACCTAGAAACGTAAAACGAATACTTATCAACAACAAAAAAAATTACCCATGTATGTCGACGAGCAAATAAAATTAGTTTTGACGAATAAAATAACACAATCATAAAGTTACAAAAAAAATCATTAACTTATTCTATCGTAATTATAGGCAACTTAACTATAAAAAAAGATTTAAATCCATTAAAGATATAGTTAAAATGAATATCGCTTATCCCAACAAATACCTTAGATTTGTCATTTACTATTTAGTCAGTGTCATGCGTGATACACGCTTAGGCAATCATGTATCTTTCGATACATGACTGACGTGGCAGATTTTTTCCCGCAGTACGTTGCCATTTTGTTATGGTCCAGGTTAGGACCAAGGAAGAACAATACGAACACAAGAGTAGAAATAACGAAGGTATATTACACGAAATAACAATACAAGATGTGGAAGGTGTTAGTATGACTGTCAGTCTGGTTTGAAGGGAACTACTATCGGCTCGACTCGATTCAACCCTCTCTCTTAAGAGGCGTAGTATACATAGTGTTAGGAAGAGTTCATTCTGTAGTTATAGGTAAGGACCCATGACACATTTCTTCCTGCGGTAGACCAGAAGAACCCGGTGTGTCCTGCTATTTACCCATAGCTGGGGGTGGGGGAGAAGAATATACCCAAGGGTATTAGCACGTAAGTGAATGTAATAGATTCGACTGGAATTCGAACTCGAACTATTTTAGAACGTCTAATCTCATTATTACCGATAACCACGGCACTTTAAAAATCCGCCCACTTATATTGCTCATGATCTCTCATGTCCATTGGGAGATTGTATTCCCAATATCAACAATAAAAAACATTACATTTTTGCATTGGTTACACATGTACAACACTCTCTCGTAGGATGAATTTTACTTTAGTAATTCGGGCACATTGTGATCATCTCATCACAACCAAAATACAATTATCAACACAAGACAAATATTCGTAGATAACAGCAAAATGATATATATGTACTCCGGACAAATATTAGTAGAGAACAGACAAATAGATTGTTCTACCCAGCTGTGATTTTTCGCAGCTGCTGTCTAACTCTCTGCCTTTGGGCAGAGAAGAACCCGGACGAGGCTTTGCCGAAGGGCAAAGTTTCGTCCGGGGTGGTAGACAGGCCCTGAACCCGTTTATACTGGATCTAAGGGAATATTTTTGGCCGAGCATACGGGCACGGAGAACCCTCGGTAAACTCGGCCTTGTGCCACATACATCCCTCGTGGGGGGTTGTTAAAGTTTAAATATTAACAGTAAAATTCTGTATAGTAATCAGTGCAAGGAAAGACCCAAAATTATGGAATCAATTATTATACATAAGCAACGGCACGCATTATATAAAATAGGTTTCACTACATGAGACGGTACTTTGAAGTGCGTATAACATGCTTAATATGCATACAATATAATAAGAATACTTATAAGTAAAAATCTGCCTTGTCAGTCTTGTATCGAAAGATACATGATCGCCTAAGCGTGTATCATGCATGGCACATAACTGACAGGATTTAATGTATACTTTTCTGGTGCGGTCTAGCTCAATCTAACCATTAAACATATCATCACTTTGGAATGATTCAAATCTCGGCTCTGTAAAAATATCAGGATGTAGCCAACAGAATCTTGTCTACCACAGACTGCGACGGTCGAAAATACTTGACCAAAGAGAACAAATAATGAAATTGGGACAGTTTATCCAAAATGTACATATTATTTTAAAACTATAAAAAATGTAATAAAAATAAAACAAACAGACCATGTCGATTGAATTTAACAAAATTATATTCTCTCTCTCTCTCTCTCTCACACACACACACACACACACACACACTCTCTCTCTCTCTCTCTATATATATATATATATATATATATATATATAAAGGGTGTTCGAATAACTTAGCCCGATTTTAATGTGAATTAAGTTTAAGCGTCTGATGATTTTTTTCTTTCAGATTTGGCGGGCATTTAGGCGATATTTTTCACATATAATTACCATGACTTAAGTAACTTGTTCTAATAGAGAAATAAATAAATTTTCACCAATAACACTGATTTATTTACTGCTGACATTGATCCGTTTTAATGAAACACCCTTATATATAATCCGTCTTAATGAAACATCCTTTATACACACACATACACACACACACACACACACACACACATATATATATATATATTGTAATGTGGTAAATCCACGAATTCTTTTGTTGTAAGTATATAGATTAATTAATAGAGTGATAAGTCTTAGTAGATTTTTTTCCGGAATTTCGTACTGCAGATCAATTGATTTTCATAAATGTATTATATTGGACACCATATGTTTTATATTATAAAGACGTAATTATACAATGCATCAATTAGTAATATTAATGTAATTAATGGCGAATTCTCATCACTAACAAACTTAATATGAGTATTAACTTACTAATAAAACACTTATCCTTATGTATAAAATTGTTATCAGATGGATCTGGTGTATTTTTAGAGCAGCAAGTACTTTCGAAAACTTCATGTTCTCATCATCAGGCTGTAATTTTCTCATTAGAAATTAAACTCCAAGACGAAATAAATGTATTGTAGACCGAAAAATGTTTTTTAAAAATGTGTTATTTATTATCGGTTATATAACTGACAACAATAAAGATCGCGTCGTTCAGTGTATTCAGTGTGTTCAAGTTAATACTTATATCAAGTTTGTTAGCGTCAAAAATAAAGGAAACAACATTTCTGCATAGTTTTTAATTGATTGTACCTGTAAAAATATTCTTGCATTTTCTTATTTATCTTCGAGAAAGTGTCATTTGGCGTCACCAGCGCAACGGTGATAATCATGCTTATCTCATTTGCAATGCTGGCACAAAACTTAACATTAAAATAATAAATATACAAAAATACACACACAAACACACAAACGCAAAAAAACATAAGTACGAAGACATTTATGTGCAGGGGTGAACTTGAAGGTGATTGTGGTATCCAATGTGGGAACAGCAAAGACGTCCGCAGTGGAGACAGGGAAATTGGTCTGGAGGTTTCAGTGCTTCTAATACTACTTTACTTTTTGCATGCTATCCAGTTTGATCCTGGGTGGACTCTTTAAGTTGCCTGAGGTCTATTCCAATATGGGCGATGCTGGCTTTGAAGCAGTCTTTGAAACGTTTCAATGACGTACCATGCTTTCTCTGAGATAGATTTTAAACAGGTAATAAATAATAGCTGGCTGTTCATATCTTAGTATGTCTGTCTGCATAGTGCGGCTAGCCAATCCCTGATGCAGACATCTGCTCGCGCACATTTGGGTTGTTCAACATCCACCTGTGGTTTATATCGGAACTATATTGAACGGATCGTAGATACAATTTCTGGGAGAGAGTGCATTATTTGGCGTGATCAACAGTCTGAACAAGGCCAGTACACTCCAACTCTCGGTCACGATGACTTGTGACTTCGTGCTAGGATCGATCGTTCCCAATTTAGTTCCGTCTGCCCAATTTAATTCACAAAGTTAGGATCAACCCGTAGTATCGTTTTTGAGGTACTTTCTAAAGGCGCCACATGCTATGATCGCCTCGCCAGGAAGAAAACATCAAAAAGTAACTTTTCTGACAATTATGTGAGGATTTGAACCCGGCACTCATGATTAGAAACCACTCAGACACGTGCCCATAAATCGGTCTGACAACCAAATCAGTGGTACTGAACGGGTTATTTACTGTAGCCCTTCTTAATTCACTAAGTCAAAATATGTGCATGTTAACAAATACAACGAATTAAGATTAGTAGCCATGAGAGCCATATTCTTAGTATATGGGATGT